ACTTATTATGTGATAATAGTAATATTGCAGTCATGGGGCATAAATGGACAATGTAATCATTGAAATAATGAAATATTGACTATTCAAGGTGAGGTAAAACTGGAAACTTAACCTCACAAACTGCATAAAAATAAATTTAAAATGGCTCAATGACTTTAGTTTAAAAATTAAACTTTAAAGACAGTAAAAGAAAACACTAGATTTTTTTTAAACTTTACAGTGAAGAAAGCCTATAAAAATATGACACAAAAAAAATAAATTTGCTTCATAAAAATCAAAGTTTTCTGCAGAGCAAAATACACCATTAGCAAAGTAAGACAATTAATATTGAGAAATAGATGTTTGCAATCCTTATAAGAAAATATCAATATAAAAGCATACAAAAATCCTTTTTAAGAGGGCAACATATATCAACAGATATGATATATACTGATTTTTTGTGGAAATATGGAAGGATGTTCACTCATAGAAGAAAAAGGCAAAAGAAACTAAAATGTATTAATTATACTTTGATTAAAAAAAGAAAGAAAAAATGGTTTTTTCCTAATATGTTTTTACCTATTATGATGACAGAGTCTAATAAAAGTTTCTCAGCATTGTGTTGAAGATTCGGAGAAATACTCCTTCTGGAGCATTTGCTAGAAGTGATTTAAATTGATGGAGCCTCTGTCTGAAAGGCAGTTAGGCTACATCTATCCAAATATACCATGCCATCCCCTTTAACTCAGATTCCTCTCCTAAATATCTTCTAATCAAAAGAATATATTCACAATTATGCACACTAATATATTTACTATAACATTGTATTCATTAGTAAAGATTGGGTACCATAATTGTCAAACGGTGCTGGGGTGGAGGCCTGATTAAACAATGTAAGGAATGCTGCTATTCAATAAAATATAATATAACCAAGAAAAAGGGTGAGAGTCCCTTTTCCATACTGATCACCCAGAAATATTAAGTGAATATACACTGAGGAACCATGTGCATAGTATGCCATCATTTGTGGGTAGGAGAAGAAAGGACAGAAATGTTAGCATATTTACAATGCAATGCACAGTTTATATCTGGAAAAATAACAGACGATAACAGTGGTGATCTTCAGGGAGGGAAACTAGAGATTGGGAATCAGGGGATAGAAGGAGATGGGTTTTACTCCATGAATTTTTGCACATCTGAATTTTTAACTATATGGCTGGTTTGTTATACACCCCCTCCCCCCCCAAAAAAAAGAAAGCAAGGAGACAGGAAGGGGAAGAGGCAAGAAGAAAGGAATGAAAAGGGAAGGGAGGGAAGAAAGAAGGAAGGAAGGGAGAAAGGGGAAAAGGAAGAGGGGAGGAAGAAACCAAGCAGGAATGATAGGAAGGGAAGCAGGATAAAAAGCAATTTGTCAGAAGCAGGGCAACTGTCAAAACTGAAAGCAAGAAGTCCCTAATGACAGTAACACAAAAATAAATGTGTCCCCTCCGGAAATCTGAATTTCCTTCAGCAGAAAATAACTACTAAATAATGTTTTTTCCAATTCCATCTCAATCCCAGAACCTCAGGCTCCCAGGGGATCCAGTATTGATCCCTTAGGTCCCAGCTATAAACTCCCCAATAGGAAGGAACCACACAAAGAGCCCTTGGTAGACAATCAGCCTCCATCAGCTGCAGAAAAAGAATCTGGGGTCAACTCCCATGTAAGCAAAGCAAAGTAACTCCCATTTCTCAACATCAGCTGTATAACTTCGCTGTGTGTCCAGGAAGTGGCAGAGTGGAAGGGCCAGAGCCAAAATTCCACCTGCCCAGGGACCAGAAGGAATCACTTCATCACTGGTAATGTAAAGGGAATGGAATGAAAGAAGTCTGTTGGACTGAAAGTCGCCCAGATAAGGACATAAATGAGCACATAACTGAATGGCTGTCAGTAGGTCAACCAACCAATATTAAATGCCCTTAATGTATTGTGTGTATGTATTATTATGGTTATTTGATGAGCACTAATTCACTGTCTAGCCCTTAGCTGGAAAGTTTGCATAAATTTGCTCACTTTACCCTCACATAACTGCAAAACAGGCTTTACTTTTACTTCATTTTTTTTAAGTTTTATTTTGAAATAAACATGCATTGACAGAAAGTTGCAAAGACAGTAGAGAGCTCCCATGTATCCTTCACCCAGTTTTCCTTCAATGGTTATATCTTATAAAATTATGTTATTTATGACATTCAAGCAAGATATTTTTTATTTTTTATTGGTGTGTATGACTGTGTGTGTATGTCATTTTATCACATGTGTAGATCTGTGTCACCACCGCTACAATCTAAAGACCTGTTCTATCACGGATGCCAGCTATCACATAGATCTCGCTCATGCTACCCCTTAGTGTCACACCACTTCCCTCCCTACTACCCTGACCCCTGGCAATCCCTTCTCCATCTCTATTTGTCATTTTGAGAATGTTAGATAAAAGGAAACATGTGACACTAAGTGATCTTTTAACATTGTCTCTTTTTCACTCAGCATAATGCTCTTGAGATCCGTCCAAGTTGTTGAGAGTACCAATAGTCTGATCCTCTTTACTGCTGAGCAGTATTCCGTGGTATGGGTGTCCCAGAGTTTCTTTAACCCACCACCTATTGGAGGACATTTTGGTTGTGTAGTTTGGAGCTATTACTAGTGAAGATGTTATGAAATAATTTTTTGGTATTGTCACTGTTTTTTATTTTAGCCATTCTGTTGGATGTGTAGTGATATCTCGTTGTATTCTTAATTTGCATTTTCCTAATGCCTAATGATGTTGGAAATCTTTTCATGTGCTTACTTACCACCTATGTAGCCCTCTTTGGTGAACTGTCCACGTCATTACTCATTTCCTACTTTGTTTTTTTTAGTGTTGAGGTTGAAAGCTTTTTATATACTCTAGCAATGAGTCCTTTGTCAGATATATTTCATCAGTTTGAGTAAATGTAGAGACCTTTTTACCCTTTGCATCCTTTACTCTTCCCATTTGTAATATACTGGTCTTAAGTATTTCCTCCACACTATACTGAGAGCCACATTAGACAGGGTCAAAATTTTTGCTTCAATTGTCAAATATGGTTTAGAAAACTTAAGAGAAGTTAAGTCTATTGTATTTATCCATATTTTTGCTCTTTCCATGCTCTCTTTTCTTAATATTCCAAGAATCCTCCTTTTAATATCAATTAAAAGAAAGAGAAAAAAAGAATAGCCATTATCTCAAAATGTATAAGTCTTCATGGCAGAGAAAAAAGAGAAAACTGGAGTGTTTGCATCAACAATTAAATATTTTAAGCCTGATATCATTACATGAACAAGTCCTGGGTAGTCTGATGAAAGATAAGAAACCATGTGAACCAAAGATGAGTCAGTCCAATTTCCCTAGCCAAAAATCTCAGGTGTATGAATGAACCAGTTGAAAAACAGCAAAGCCAACCACAGATCTGACCACAGAGACACAAGGGAGCCCTTTTGAGAAAAAAAAAAAAACCAACCAGCTGGGTCCAGACTAAATTGTCAATTCATGTAATCATGAACTAAGTAAATATTGGCTTAAGCCAATAATTTGAGGCAGCTTGTTTCACAGCAGTAGCTATAATACATGTTCAAACCTAGCTATAAAAGAGGCAGTAAAAGCAATAACGTATTGTGCCCAGAAGACGGAGAGCAAGAGAACTTTGGCAAATAGCTCTAAAGACTATCATAAAAGGGCAGTGCTCAGCTCTTTTAGGATACAACAAGGTTTAAGACAGAATTTCCATGCCCTGGAAGTTATATAATATTAATTGAAAGACAATGAATAGTGAAATATGATATGAAACAGAATATAATATAAGGATACATAGAATTATCCAAACCGAACAGGAAGCTGGATCCACTTTTTAGAAACCTTGCTTTACCTATTCTTTAAACAGTTGTCTTAGATTTTCCTTCATCTGAGAATGTCGTGATAGCCCTTGCACTCCAGAGGGATATTTTTTGCCAGATATAGAAAATGTAATTGACAGTACTTTTCTTTCAGCTCTTGAAAAATGTTGTGCAACTTTTTTCTGGACTCTGTGGTTTCAGATGCTAAATTTGCTCTCATTCTAATTGTATGACCCTATAGGTAAGAATTCTTTTCTGGCTGCTTTCAAGATTTTTTCTTGGTCTTTATTTTTTAGAAGTTTAATTATGAAGTGGCTTGGCATGAATGTCTGTGGATTTAGCCTATTTGAGATTCACACAGCTTCTCGAATCTGTGAGCTCAGCTGCCCACTTGGCCTTGCTGACATCTGGGCAGGGAAAAGAGGAGTGCTTACTAGACCCCACTGGCCCTGCCTTCTTCAGTCTTGTTGAGGCTGAATGGGGAAGATGGGAGATGAGCTCACCTCTGCACCCAACTAACTTTACATTGGTGAGGGAATCAAAGGACTCTGGCTACTACCAAGTGAGAGGTGGAAGATCAGCTCCCGGCCCTGTACTCCCACTATCCCCTCCCCAAAACACACTATCCTGGAAGGGAAATCAGACCTCCATATGGTTATACCAGGTGGAACACAGAACAGATCCCCATGTGATCTACTGGTAACAAATGGCAGGGAAATTGTAGTACAACACCTGCATCAGTGGGGTGAGGAAAGGGAGAGGGTTGAGTGGAAGATCTAATTCTCTCATGGCTCAATGAAATTGCATGGGTGAGTGTGGTTTTTCCTTAGGGGTTTGGCTAAAGTAGGGAAGATATTCTTTAAATTTACACGCCAGGACCCATCAGTTAACACTTACTACAAGTGATGAGGTCTTCATCATATTCTCTACGTTGAGTGACAAGGTTCAGCCGTTTGCATGTTTGCCTTTAAAATTTGAGTCAATTATGTCATAGAAAATGTTCTTTGACCCTGCCATGAAACCAAATATTATACTGTTTCCAATTCCAAAATTAGTTTAAAAAACACGATGGTCTTAGCTCTCTCTGTTCTTTATTCTTTGATTCTTTCCAGCTATTTCATCTTTGCTGACCATGCAACAAAACAATGGCACCAAAGTCACTGAATTCATTCTCCTGGGATTTGCTGGTCAACACAAGTCTTGGCATGTCCTCTTTGTAGTATTTCTAGTGATCTATGTGGTCATCCTAGTGGGTAGCATTGGCATGATCCTACTCATCAAGATTGAGTCTTCCCTTCACACCCCCATGTATTTTTTCCTCCAACATTTGGCTTTTGTAGATCTCTGTTATGCATCTGCTATCACTCCCAAAATGTTGCAGAATTTTGTGAGCACAAAACAATCCATCTCATTCATCGGATGTATGGTGCAATTACTAGTCTATGGTATTTTTATAACAAGTGACAGCTACATCCTTGCTTCTATGGCAGTGGACCGTTACGTGGCCATCTGTAACCCCCTCCACTATGCAACAGTCATGTCCCAGAGAGTCTGCATTCAACTCATAGTTGGCTCCTACTTCATGGGTTTCCTAAATGCTTGTGTAAATGTAAGTTTCACTTCATCACTGAACTTTTGCAAGTCCAATAAAATTAACCACTTCTTCTGTGATATACCCCCAATTCTTGCCCTCTCCTGCTCCAGTGTTTCCTT